ATTCAATTGGAGTCTCATCCATCAAACACAGTGTAGCTCTTGAGAGGTGACAGATCAAACTCTAGCAATCACAAACGTGCTGAGCTTTGCCCAAATTATGGCAAAGGTTTCTTGCACCTCAGATTTCTTTCGGGAAAAAGTTTTGACTTCCAAATCCAAGCGTCAGCCAACCAGCTCTCTGTGTAGAGATTAAGTAATTCACAAATTAAGGGTTTTGGTCTGATTTTACTCCTGAAATAAGTGGTAACGCTCCCCATGGCTCCAGAGGGAGAAAGGTCCTCTGCATTACTCACTGGCTGATTGCAATCCACACAGGATCGTGCAGAAAGAACTGCCAGATMATTCATAATATCACGGAGCCCTTGTCTCTTACTGCAAGGCTTTTTATCATCACAAATTCAGCTTTAGGCCTAGTCATAAATTTGCATGGTTTGTAATTGATGCATTAGTAGTTGGAATAGCTGGATGGCAAGTTTTTAACTCGTCAGTGGAGGCAGCTTCAGGCTGAAGAGTTTTGTGCTCAGGAAGAAGAGTTGGTTCATTTATCCCGTCAGCTTAGTCAAATAATCTCCCTCATGGCTGTAACAGTAATTAGGAACAAGGAATAAAACTCTGATAACCCCTAGCAGCTAGACTAAGGGACAAATATGGAAGGTGAGCATTTACTGATGCGTTTACACACATGTTTAAATGACGTTAAAGAGAGACCAGAAGACCCAGGGGATGTAACTCCATGTTCTCTGACTTGAGAATGTAGGCACTGTAAGGACCATGAGCAAACAGTTGAGTGTTTTCTTTCTTTAACAACACCAAACTTTCCTGCTATACAGAGTGGTCCCTCATTGTAATTTGGGGAAAGTGACTCACGACAGCTCTTGGAGGCAGTTTTATCTATCACAGTCACTGAGAGTCTCCATGGAGTTCCATGCCATGACTGCACTCTGACAGACACCTCACTCCCACCTGATATATCCTCTGATATCCTTGAGCTCTTCTGAAGAATAATTTCTTGCGTGGAAATGAGAGTTCTGGGAATTCTTTGTGCTGCTTTGGCTCAGTATCTGGGATAGAATGCATGAGTCAGCCAGGAGCAATCCAGACATTACCCTCAAGTTCAGAACAGTCTGGATTTCAGTTTCTCTGAGTTTTACAGACACACAGAGTTCCTCCTTTTTTTTTTTTTTTCACATTTAGATTGTGAGTAGCTGCCTGGTCTGCTTGTCTTTGTTTGCCTGAACCAACCTTCCCTAGAAAGGTTATTCAAGAAACTGCAAGTAGCTCCTGTAATTTCATTTTAATCAACTAAACATATGCATTTCAACAAAGGAATCAGCTAATGGGGAGACAGAAGGTCTTTTAATAATATTTTTATATTAATTTCTTTTTTCTTCTGGGAGGGGGAATCAAACCCAAGCAGAAAGGTGATTTTTGGGTAGCAGACCTCAGCTTCTTAATTAATGTAGAAGTTTATAGAATGTCCTGAACATATTTAAACCTCACAAATTTTGAGGTCATTATGTCATTCATAGATTTGCTGCCCAAATAGTAAATCTGAGTTTAGAACAATTCACTTAGTGTCTTCTAGAAATGGTCTAAATATGTGTCCATATATATTTATGACACAAAGGGTGACATATTTAAGCAGAATATTTTCAAAGCAGACCCACCCAAAAGAAACTCCCAAACTACAAATTATTTTTGGATTAGAAGAATCTGTGCTTATGCTTTAAATCCTCTTACCTGTATAGTTTTATATATAGTACCACATTTAGTCATGATGCAAAATGCCTTCTATAATTTTACTTAAGCAGCAAATAAATTTGTATTTGCAATTTTTTAAAGCTTTTCATAGCATAAAGAATGGAGTAGCAGGGACCAAAAGCTAGTCACTTTTGTTTCTCTCATTTGCTGTGGATTCCTCTGGGTTTATCTTGCATTTTTATGACCTAAATCGGGAACAATTCTGCTGTTTCTCGCTGAGCTGCACGTGCCTTAAAATCAATAGAAGATTCAGGCTTGCTCTGTATATTTTTCCTCTGAAAACTCTATGGATACAGCGGTGTCTGTTTTCAGTGAGAGTGGAAATTCCAGTATCAGCAGCTAATCTTAAACCCCTGGGCTTGCTGCAGCTAATACTGTACAAATTGAACCCTTGCCCATCTATTTTCAAAAGAGGCCGAACAAAGGTGCTCCCCATGAACCTGCAGGTCTGTTCCCCACACTGTGCCTTCCATCGCGTGTGCACCTGCAGAGGAATTTGCACCTGGCTGGGGCCGTGGTGCTTGGCTGCCTTCCAGGCAGGAAAGGGGGCTGTTGGCAAACACATCCCATGGAGCTGCCAGACCAATGTGCAAATYGTTCGTGGTGTGTAAGTCATTCTGCAGGTTCCCAGCACAGAAAGAAGAAGGTGGAAATTCTTGGGCATATTTTGTTTTTTCCCCCAAACAGACACACATAGATGAAATGCCTTCTTCATTCCCTCTGCTTAGCTTCCTTTCTGCAGCAATATTAACTTCATACTCAAATAAAATAATAATCTATACCTGCTGTACACATCTCAATGAAAACTCCATAAAGAACAGGAATAGAATTTATCCTTCTCCCAATCTTTCTCTCTCCCATTTATCCTTCTGGATTCCCTTCTCTCATTCGCACATCCCGCTTTCTTTCCTCTTTCTTTTCTGTTCCTTTAAAATATTTTCTTCCCAAGAGAAGCCAAACAGAAATATCTGCCCTCAGTGGTCTTCTGCATTTGAGCTCTGTCCTTTGTTAAAAGGAATTGGAGCAGGGGGTGGGCTTGGGCTTCTATCCAGGAAAAAAGGGGGAAGAGAGGCACTGTTTATTGCTACCGAGGACTGAAGCAGTCCCCAACCCTTCCTTTAACAGAATCTCTCATATTTCTTTCTAACTCTCATGGGGTAAGCACTTTTAAGTGTCAATTATTGTTATTATTTACCTAGGGAGTGTGTGTATGGCATCTGGCATGGATAGTTTGGAAATGTCAGTATTCCTGTAAGTTTAATTCACAGGAGTTTTCTAGGTGGCTTTTCCATAAGCTGATTCTTTAAGATTTGAAGGTTTGTTGGAAACAAACTAGGGAAGTGTATGGTATCTGCACATTTCAGTGCTTTTTTGGGAACACAGAAGTGGGTTTATTACACATTTCTTGTGCTTTCCTGTTTTGTGGGTGACTTTCTGACCAGAAAAGATAACAAAGGCAGAACAGATAGAAGATGCAGCATGACAAGGGACTCTGCCAGTTCCGAGTCAGGCAGGGGAAGTTGGCTGAACTGCTTTTCTTTCTCTCTCTCCTTTTTTTTTTTTTTTTTTAGCAGGGTTAAGGTGAACTTCTAAGCAATTGTGGAGTGAGGCCCCACCTTTCCCAGCCCGATCTGCAGGCTCGGGTTACTCTCTCCTGTCTGGTTCACAGGAGCTCACAGTGAGCCTCACGCCTGCCTGCTGCCCCTGTCTTCAGCCCCGAACCTGCCAGAGCCTGGCACAATAACACCATTTGTAGAGTCCAGACTTTATTTCAGGAAGATTTGCTGGCAAACACCAGGTCAAGGATGGAATAGCTCTCGAGAAGAGATTCAGCAACCAAACTGCTGCAAACAGTAGCTGAGCAATATCGTCCTATCCTCTCTGKTTTTTTTCAAAATTGGGAAAATCCTTGTCCTCCCTGGAGAAGCCGTCAGGGGCAGGACTCTGGTAGTGATGGCTCTGACTTCACCTGCTTTTGCAAATGTGTCACGGAGTGTTATAAAAAGCGAGGAGCTGCCAAGTCTCTTTTCTTGGAACTGAGTGGAAATTTCAGCAAGCAGCTGCTCTTTCATTAGTTTATACTTTTCCTCTGCAGGTTTCTTGGAGACGGCTTGCAATCACAGAAACTTTGTAGCACGAAGGACCTGTTGCTCGGTTTGGATAATCCTGGCTCGTTGGAAATAGCTGTTCGATCCAGATATGATTCTGATCTTCCTAAGGGATCTTGGTGAAGCCTGGGAGGAGCCTCGGGAACGTAATTAAGCAGGTGTGTAAATCTTTCTGGATTGGCAATTGAATCCTATCCAAAATCAGGAACAGAACCTCAAAAATCAGATTAGCTCTCCTATAAACTACCTGAATAGGGTTCTTTTTCAAATGTCTGATGCCGTCAAAAGATTAATACTTTCTAGCTTTTCTCTGGAGTCACATAAGGCAAAAACTTATTTGAAAGAGGAATCAGTGAAAACAGCCTGGAACAGCCTGTTTTCAGGAGGGGAAAATCGTGGAAATCGTGGAACAGCCTGGTTTTAGGAGGGGAAGTGGCTCATTCTAGCAATCCCGACTGCGCKAACAGTGTAGCGTGAGGAGTTCGGCTACCTGCAGGCGTGCCAATAGGGACTATTCCCCTGCGCTRAGTGAAAGCCACGTGTAAATTATCAGAGTGGGGAGGAATGCGGTGCCAGATGGAAACAACATAAACCGCTGGGAGATTTCATCCGGGATTTCAAGTGAGGACGGGAGACTTTAGTTCGCATAGCCCAGTCGTCCCAAAGGTGGTTTAGCTACACCTACTTCTTCGGGGAAGGATGTTGCTTTGGAGTCGTGGTAGGTTTGTGTGTAGCTTTTTTTTTTTTTTTTTTTTTTTTTTTTTTTTCTTTTTCTTTTTTTTTTTCTTTTTCTTTTCTTTTTCTTTTTCTTTTTCTTTTTCTTTTTCTTTTTCTTTTTCTTTTTCTAAACGCTTACGATGACTGAACTCCCACGTTTCAGCCTGGCTCCGGGGCGCTGCTCTCAGCACCTTTGCATGGCGTGAGCGTGCAGGGAGCGGGAGGAGGGAGGCAACCCTGCAGAGCCCGCAGGGTGCCGGGCGGCCGCTCCGCCGGCGCGGGGGCTCCGCGCTGCCCTCCGCGGGTCCGCCCCGGCCGCGGGCTGGGGCTGGGGCTGGGGCCGGGGCTGGGGCTGGGGCCGGGGCGGGGCGGGCGCCCGGCAGAGGGAGCTCGGCTCCGCTCCGCTTTGCTCCGTTCGCCGCGGCTGCTCCGGTGACCGGCGCCCGCCCCGCTCCCGCACTTTGTTGGCGGCGCGGAGCGGAGCCCCCCTCGGCCGCCCCTGCCCGGAGCCCCGCGGCCACCGCCGGTCCCGGGCCGGGAGGAGGACTCGGGAGAAGGTAAGGGGCTGGCGGGGTGGGATGGGGTTTCTCCCGGGCGTCGAGCCCCGGGTTGTTCCGCGACCCCAAAAGCCGCCCGGGCAGCAGCAACACGGCGGGGTGSGGGGCGGTCCCCTGGGCCTGTCCCCGGTCCCGTGGGCGCTGCCGGCGCCCTGAGCTCGGACAGGGCGGCTGAGAACTCCATGCCGGGTCCCCCGAGCTGAGCGCGGCTCCGGGGACGGCACCCACCGCTGCCGTGCCCCTGCCTGGGTGGGTACCCACGCACCGCTCCGTGTGTGTGCGTTTATGTGTGTGTGTGTGCGTTTATGTGTGTGTGTGTGTGTGTGTGGGCGTGCGGTGCTTTCCTCCGCCGCTGCGGTGCCGCCACACCTGCTCGCACCTTGCCCGCCGGGCTCCCACCGGTGGCTGCGGGGGCGGCCCGGGCGGGCTGGACATCCCCGCCGCTGCCCTCCTTCTCCCGCCTCACCTTCCACCAGGTGACCTGTCTTTCAGCCCTTATTGTGGTATTTTTTCCCCGGTGGTTCAGCTGGCTTTTCCATCTGTATTGCTGGTGGCGGGCAAAGGGCAGCTTTCGGGTGGGATAATCCTGTTGCACGCCCGCGTTTGTTTGGTGCTCTCCCCTGCTGTCTTTCATCTCTCTCGGTGTTCACCCCTTTCATTCTCTCTGGTAACTTTCCCTGGCGTTTTTGCTYCTCCTGCCCCTCTCATCGCCATGACACGCAGTCCCTTGTGCGTTGCCAGTGTGCAAGTGACCTGGGCACRCCTTGGAAAACAGGCTCGTGGCATTTTGAAGAATAATCGAAGGTACTCCTGCCCCCTGTAACCTCAGTGGGGCTGCATTGTATCCACAAAAAGCGAGATGTTGCAGCTTCCACCAAACCATAGTTTCAAGCCAGTGAGTAGCAGTCAGCAGAAGGAAGGGTGGAACAGGTTCTGCTTAAGGATGTTGTTTGAGAACCAATCCTCCCACTCAGAAATTGTGCTTTGCCTTGGTGAACCTTTACCCTCCAGAGTGGGGTGACCTTTGGTGGAGTCTGCTTTGTTTACTTGAGGTGAAGTACTGAAGGTAAAAGTATTGCTCCTCTGCATTGTGCCTGCTGAAATATTAACCAAATGATGGATCTCGCATGCCTTTGGAGCATAGATCATATTTTAATTACGCCTCTCCATTATAAAAAATGCAGTCCTCCTCCTTTCCTATTGACCATCTTTCTTCTTGTTTGTGATTGTGCAATGTCTATATGTCAGCTACAAAAGTTGCTTACATGGGAGAACATAAAAATGACCATTTTTGTTGTTAGCAACTGGAAATACTTAATCAGCATTGTGTGACCAGTCTCCTTTCCCTGGAATACCCATGAAAATGCTGAGAGGAGAAGAAACCTCTCCTAGGCCAGGCTTGCAGTGAGTTGGTGGTTTCCTCTCAGCGAGTGAGCAGTGAGGCTGCAAAGAGTTTACSGAGTTTCCAAGGCGTAAGGGAGACGCCCCACATCTCCTCTTGATTCACAGTTCACAGGGAGTGTGGCATTATCAGCGTCCAGCTATCGGCAGGTAACGAGATACTGTGCTCAAGGCTCCCCTCAGCCGGCTGTGGCTGCTCCTTGCTTTCACCGGGGAGCCCATGCAAATGGGAGTGGCTTTGGATTTGAATTGTCCAGCTGGTTTGTGCTGTCACACACTCAGAGTGGCTGCAGTGTTGAGTTATGCCTTCTCATAGCTCAGAATGGMTGTTTCTGAGTGGTTCTGTAATTTTGAAAGCGGACAAAACACCCCATTAGATTTATTTGGAGGGAGGTAACACCCCACAATCAACAACACCCAGTAATGATTAGGTGCTAGTTACATAGAGCAGTAATAGAGAAGGCAAGATTAATTTAAAATTACTTTCTTCTGCTGTGAAATGCACAAATGGAAAAAAAAATACTGAAGTTTTCCACTTGGTGACAACTAAATTATTGAAATATGGTTGATTTCTTTTTTTYCTGTCTGTAGTCCATCTGTAAATGGCGAATCAGTCACATTAACCACTGCTTTTTTCCCTGTGGGTGAAAGCTTATTAAAATCTAACATCTGAAGTCAAATAATTGAAGCCCCAAGGGTCGAAATGKATTAAATATATAAGAACTCTTCAGTTACTGTGGGGAGATAAGAGAACGCTTGAAGTCCACATAAGGAAGGCTACATTAATAAAGCATTTGCTAACTTTGGCTTCAGTGTCTACCACTTGTTGCTCTTGTCCTGGTTACAATTCCTGCATCTCTTCTCATACAGTGAATGACTGGTCAATGGCACAAGATCTTCTCAAAAACAAAGTTTTTGGCTGAGCCAGACAGAAAAAACAGGCCCTTTGGTCTGTGACCCCTCCAGATTCCTCTCTGCTGTGGGGCTGGTGTCCAGAAAATAAAGATGTTTAACACCTTGGAGCTGTGCTGCTTGAGGCTCATTTCTTGTTTTCAGTGCTAGTTTTCTTCTTTTTGTGCTATTAAATGCACAATAATAAATACTGCCAGAAACTAGAATTCATACTTTTGTGGAGGGCTGTAACTGGTGCCATTTTATCTTAACTCCGGAGCTGGACTCTGATTTGTCCACCAATTTGTTCATCCAAACCAATGACATTCTGTTTTGTACAGCTTTTAATTTGTTTGTGATACCTAGGAATTTCAGTTTTTTCACCCTGATTCCAAGTTATCTGAATTTTGTTTTGCCATGAACTTCAGTTGTTAGTGCAGTCCTGAGTGACCACAGCGTTTCTCCCTATTGTGCCCTTAGGGATAAAGTCGGGGAAAGTTTCRTCTAAGTCAGTGAGACTGTTTGGGGTGTGTGTAGGAAACATTTGCATAACTGTTTATAAAACAATGCTCTGCAGTCACTGAAACGGAATGTTAAGATAAGGTGTCTTTTATAGCTATTGATACTCGTAGATCCTGTCAAATTCTGCTTTTTCCCTGGCCAGGTTAGTCACACCCTTCTTTGAAAGACCTTGATGATGTGAGAAGGAGCAACCTTCACATCTGTTTTCTGAGGAGGGACTCCTTTTTTTTTCCCCCTCTAATTTTGTGTCATTGAAACCAGAGGATAAAAAATGAATCCCAAACAGAAATGTTGTTAGCATTCGCCTTTTAAGATCTGTTTCAATTTGAGCTGTGGCCATGAGCCTGCAATCACTAACACATGTCTTTGATTGTAACCTCAATTTTAGCAACATTTTTAAATATTAGCCAACTCAGGGCCTTGAATTGCTACTAGTTGAGCGCTTCCAGTCCTTTCTTGCCTTCCCTCTCTATGCCACTGCCTCGGTAATTAAAGTTAGGCATGCTGTGAATCTCCACAGGGTTAAGATCTGACATGGAAATAGCAAATTACAAATTACTTTCTTTGCATTTATTACCTTTGTCTTTTTGTGAATAGACTTCAGCAACCTTATGCATCCTGAATAGACGAAGTTAGCAGATGTCTCTAGTCTCAAAGATGCAGAGTTAGTATTTTTCATGAAGTTTTCCATTTTGGTGGGATTTTTTTGTTGTGTAGTTTCCTGATGCATGACAGGCGTCTTCATTACTGTGGTGGTGTGGTGCAGGGGATTCTACTTTGCCTTTTTCTTAAAGCCTCACTCATGTCATTTCGACCAACCATGGAAACTGCTGGGTTTTCTCTATAGAACTAGAGAGAAAAAAAGAAAAGCAAAAAACCCAGTATAAATGTAAAAATTATGAACCCCTTCTCCTGTAATACTGTGAGAACTTTGAGTATTTCAACAAAATATTTAGAAAAAAGTAATAATTTAAAAATGTATCTGCTGAGTAGGTAGGTGTTATGAATGTCCAGTAACTTAAAAAACGTTTCTTACAGATAATTTGGTTGTTTGGGGTTTTTTGGTCTTTTTGTTGTTTTGTTTCATTATTGGTTTTGTTTTCTTTTCAAGAATGCATCGGTTTTACATGAGATAGAGTATTTGTCTTTTCATAATCCAAAATGTTACAGTTTATGGATTTCCTGGATTTTACAATTACCCCTCCAGGTAAGGGAACACCTGATTTCTTTCAAACCTTTCAGGAGTGCCGGGGAGCTGTGTTCAGCTGACTTAATTGTGAAGCTCCCAGAGCTGGTTCTTGGTGCTGAGTTTGCTGTAGCTGCTGGRTGCTTCAAACTAAGATTAAATCTACTACAAGAGTTTCTCTTATTGTCTGTAGCTCAGGAATGTTTGTAACCAGAAGAAGATAAAGAAGTGACTCCAGGGGATTTGTATTTATTACTTTGATTTCAGCTCCTGCATRTAAAAGCATTCTTAAAGATTTGACCAAGTAGAAAGTCAGGCACTAGGCTTGCTGCTTGCTGCTTCTCTCATCCCTCCCCCTCACCTGGCAGAAATTATCCCAAGAGAAGCTGGAAGTGAGATGTTAGCAGAACCTGTCTGTTGTTCCTTAGATAGGCCCACACCCATTAGGAAATAGATTTTTAACACCCCTCTCCTCTCCTCAAACCGTTGCATACGTTGTTCTAAAACACATGAGAAATACATGAGATCACAGAAGTTCAATTGCTCCTCARTCCTTGCCGATACCTGGTGAGGTACAAAATAATCCCAATTTTATCAATGTTTTGACTTTAGGTAGACTTTGATGTTGCTGTGATTTGTTCAGTTAAAGGTCCTAGTGAATTGTCTTTCACCTGAAATGTGAGCTTTGGTTAATGAGTACGTTATTTCMTTCTGGGGTGGTTGAGAGGGCTTTATTCATCCCTCTGAATGCTCCTTTCATGAAAACTGAAGACTTTGCTCTTCCTTCTAATGTACTCTTCCTTCTTCCTGTGCCATTGATCTTTTTATCTGTTTTCACACTATGTCTGAGGTGTATTTCCTGAGACAAAGATCTCTTTRTTTCCAGTGTAAAATATAATTTGAAGTAATTAGCTGGAGAAAGCTCTTTTTTTTTCCTACTCCATAAGGGTTTAGAAAGTCACTTGGTGTTTCTGGGTGTTAGGTGTCTGGTTAGTGCAGG